AAGTCTCTGCTAGAAACAATTTCTTTCCTGTTGTTTTATTTACGTAGCATGTTTTTTATATTGTTTTCAATACACTTTAAAGGGAATTTCATTTATCGGATGGTCATAAATAGTGACTAGTATGCTTTTGGTATTCATGGAAATGGATTACTGCTAACCCATCTAATAAGAAGTGCTGTGTGAGCTATATGTAGTAGCTAGGTAGGTAAATATCCTTACAATAAAAGGTGAGGGCCATAGTACCTGGGGGTCAGGAATTTCATGCACAAGTGTGTGAATTAATTTTGCATCTGTGATGTCTGCCAAAAATCTGAGCTTACTGGTGATTCTCAAGGGTCCCCTCTGTGCAGTTTTGAGCAGAAGAGTATGATAAATTGCTCGGCTTCACTTGCATACTGGATGTTTTATATACTTGAAGGCTCATTTCCATGTGTGTTACAATATAGTTGTACAAAGTGATGTGAGTACTCCCAGGAATTAGGGTTCTGATTTCTCAATTATTTTAATTTCTAAAATTTTGGATACCTTATTTTTTATCCTTTTAAAAACAATTTTTAAAAAATGCCTGCTCTATTTTCAACACAGAAACTGATCTTTTAATTTGAAAATCATGTCAGATGACATCTAGCCCTGTAAATGTCTAGAAAATACAAAAAAAAAAATCATCTCACTTGCACTTTCATGTGCAGATTAGCTGCCATTGCTGCCTTTTAGCTCATCTTAATATTAGGGCTTCTGCATAGTAAGTATCCACTCAGTTACTGATTACTGCAGGAGCCTGGAAGTAATGGTGATCTTCCTGTTGGAGAACTGCATAGGGACATATATCCTACATCATCTAAGTATTTTGATAGCTTCTGTGTTTTCAAAGTGCTAAAATAAAGTCTTAACTCATACTTATTCAAGGGCAATGTGACTTCTCAACACCCTCTATTAAAAATCATGATGTAATTGAACATTATAGTGATAAAATAAGACAGCATGGCCTTTGACAGGGCAGTACAGAGGGCACAGAGCTTCATTTAAAAACTGCATTCTAATAGGATCTTTGGGAGTCAATGATTCTATATGATGTATGTGATTAAGTGTAAACACATTTTACATTCTTTTACTTTAAATGGAAAAGCATGGTTTGCATCCATTCTGCTACAGGTGAGTATGCAGAATGTTGCAGACAAACTTCCCATGGCCTGGAATAGTGAAACTAATCGGAGAGCTCTGTCATCAACCACAAAAATGAATGTCATTGAAATGATTTTTCTGAAGGGGATAAATTCAATCCTCCACTTTGGCTTCTAAAGAGAAGTGAAGTTGTCAGCTTTACAATGGGTCAATAAACCAAAATAGCAATTCAGTTTAAAATGGATATTTTGAGAAAGTGACTTCTTGTCTTGAACCTTTCAAGCTCAGTATTGAAAGAGGGATAAATGTAGATAAAGTCAAATATGAAACAGTTGGGAGGATTTATTAGGCATTGTTTTGTAAAATTTGAAGAAAGGAGAAAATCTCATATTACCATTAGCTTTCATAAAGTGAGAAATGTTAATAAGGAAACCTTAACACTCATAATTTTCTGAAGAATTGTGTGTATTCTTTTAAATAAATGTTTAAAGAAATCTTAATTTGTGACAAAAAAGGTTATGGACTGATTCCAGTCCATTTAAAACAAAGATTACAATAAACATGCACACGTGTGGTTTTCAGGCTCCGTGCTTAAAGGTGAACTTCTAGTTTACAATTTTCCAACAGCTATGTTATCCTTACTGCTTTTTTAAAATCAAGCCTGTATTATTTGAGATCATAAAATACTGTAAAATACACATTTAACCTCTAAGCATGCTCTTACTTTTGATGGTGATCTGATTTATTTAAATGACTTAGGCGCCTAGTTTGATGTTAGTCTTCCCATTTCCTTTTCTTGTTTTAGGATCTGTTTTTGATGTCAAGTGATTTTGGCACCCAGGTTGAAATATTTGATGCATACTGCTAGGCTGAGCAAAATAGATCTGGGTAGTAGAGGAGATGTTTTCTTCCTTATGTAAATCTGCTGAGCTGAGCCATAGTGGTGCTTTCTTCTGAGATTTTCCATTTGGTGGTGCAGCTGATTTCCAGCCATTACTCTTTTTCACACACGATGAGCTCAGTTCTGAGCTCATACATCACTGACCACATACTAAAAATGGAATTCCATTTACATTTAATATATCTTCATCCCATTTCTTCTTTCTGGAAGACCTGTTAAGCTCACATCCTCCTCTCTAGTACTCCTTCTCCTTTATTGGCTCAGGGTGCATTTTAAGAGCATGGACTTAATTCTTGATGGAACGCTTTTTCTCCCCTCAGTGTATAATTATGTGGAGAGACTTAATAGCCCTCTCAATGTACAGATAAATACTTTAGAGGAAAGATATATATGCCTAATTAAAATGTTCAGCATCATGTATCATCTGAGCATCACCCAACTAAAAATAACACAAAAAAGACATGAACTGTGATGTCATCTACCTAATCTTCATCTGGGTGATTTTGACATTGGCACAAGGAGTTGTCTTTTGGTATTTGAAGCTTGTTTTAAAAGCATAAAAGAAATGGGGGGAGGGGGAGAAAATCTGGCACTTTAAACATTGCGTATATTTTAAAGACATAAACATGAGAATATTGAGAACCTTTACACAGGTTCACTTTTAATTTTTCTTTTTAAATTTTTATGATGTGTATCAGTGTGTTTTATTGGAGTTTTGTCTTCTGGAGCATTACTGGGCTATAGCTGTTTGGTAGGAAAATAATGGATCACACATGGTAATCAAAAGTAAGAGGACAATCCCTGGTATTCTGTCAAAAGCCATCTCTCAAAGTTCATTTTACCTATAAACTTGTATTTATTTACTGTAATGAGTACTTACACTTAAAGCAGTCAAGATTTAGTCAAATACTAGGTATGCTTGGTAGGTGATATGTGGCATGTTCAGTTTTGCATGGACAGTATGCTTTGAGCCAGAGGTGAAACTTTTTAGACTTACTTATGCTTAATTATGAAGATCATCACTACAGTGATGTGCAGTTTTGGAAATAGAGATAGTTGAAGGATCAGTGGCATAAACTGAAGTGGGGCTAGATGCTGGCTGTCATTCGCTTGCCCCAGACCCTGCACCTTCTGGGCTACTGCAGCTATAACCCATGACAGCATCTTAGATTCTGTGAAACTGGAAAAAAATGTTGTTCTCTGTCCATTCATACATATGTTTGAGCTCCTGTTTTGCTTGCATTGTAATACCTAGTTTTGACAAAAAAAAAACAACAACAACAACAAAAAAACCAAAAAGCAAACAAAACAGACAAAAAACCCAAACAGAAACCCCAACCCACAAACAAAACAGAAGAAAATAAAAACAGAAAACCACAAACAAACACAAAAAACCAATCTAGCAAAAAATCCCTCTTGCTTGGGTAATCATTTATGTGCTGTGATTTTGCTCCTATCAGAACAGTTGTTTTCTTTATTCCACAATTTCAGGGATGGGACGGGAACTTTCTAAAAATCCAGCGGTTTTGAAAATAGTGATGTTTAGAAAGATTATTGCGCAGAAGTAAAAGTAATCAGTTTTGTCTGAAGGATAATGGAATGAACTTAGTTAACTAGAACTGTGTTGTGACGGTATTTATAGAAATTTATGTCTGTGTACTGTTTTGGGGATTTATTATGGATTTTTGGCTTGACAAGTTTACTAAAACCCAGTACAAATCATATGAACAATTGCAAAATATGAATAAGCCTGTATGACCATCATAGGCAAGTTCAGTTCAGACTGAAAATACTCTAAATGGATTGTGCTGAGAATTCTGAAGCTGTCATCTGCCAAATGCACAAACCAGCTCCATATTACAGGGGTTTGGCCAAAGGTAGGTGTTTTCAGGGGTTTTGAGCAGAAGAAAGATTTGACTGGAGCAAACACAATTTGGATCATGGAGGTAGTTCATGAAGTATTGAGGAATGTGGAAGAAAAGGAGTTATTTTTCAATTTGCCTTCTTTGTAAATTATGCTGTTATACAGAGCATTGTACTTGCACCAGAGGAAAAGGGGTGATAGCCTCATTAGATGTTTTCTCTTCCCAGCATTAAGATAAGAATGGGGAGACTTAAGGCTCTCCACTCAGAACATGAAAAGAAAACCAAAGGCACTTCAATATGTGTTACAGAAGTCACTCAGAGTCTTTACTGTGATCTTGAGAAGTAGTAATCCAGGCCTTGCAGGTATCTTTTGAGGGATGGAACCTGTTGCTTACTCTAAAGTTGTTTCTTAGATCAAGGTATACTAAAGAGGCTTTTTACAGTCTTAAAAGTTCAGTTCACCGTTGCCGTATCTAGTGGTGAATCTTTCTTTTCCAAGCAGCTTTTTTGTGAGGGCCATGAAAAACACTATTAATTAGCTGTTGATCATACTCTCTGTGTGCACTCATGCTTGTTCACATTGAGCCATTTCTGTTTATGCTAGGAAATACAGTTTTCTGTGACATGCATTAAACATTTTAGGAAGTATCCCTTAGGCACTACGTGTAATAAGGATCAGGATTTTAGCCAAATGAATAAACTGCTCAGAAATATGAAAGAGCCATTGCTGTGACTGCAGCCTGTTGATTGGCTCATTTGAAATCTCCTTTAAAGAAGTCATACTGAAAAACAATTTTTTTCAGTCCCAGTTTTATGTCTCAATTCCACCCGATTTTGAATTTGAAACAGATGGGACAATTTTTCAAAAATAACAGCTTTAAATATTTGCTTGTCCTGAAGTTCAGCAGATTTTGTCTTGGCTAACAAAGGCACAATAATTTGTTTCTTAGGAAAGTATGCTTTATATGTTCTGAAAGCACACAGAATTTATTGATCTAAACATTAGTAACTAAAATCTATACTGGTATTTGAAGTTCTACGCAAAATCAGTTTACTTAACCCATGTATTTTTCAACTCTGTTTTCTGTTGCAGTGGCTCATCATACTTGACAAAAATTGACTTAACAGAAAAAAACGTGAATTGTGGGAAAAGGCTGGATCAGAATCAGAAGCATCAGTCTTTCTGGTGAGTACTTGCCATTAAGACACTCATACTTCAGATTTTTGCTTTTTTCATGTTCCTGGAAAGGGTATTAGTTTGTTACATAAAAGTGAAAGGTGTCTGTGAGAGACTGCAGATTTCCTGATGCATGCCACAAGAAAGCATAGTTTTGCTAGCTGTTGCCATGTTAGTGTGCATCATGTATTCTCTGAAAGAAAAGTATATTCACCCCGGAAGTAAAAAGACAAATGCTCATCTATATATTAAAAAAAAAAACAACAAAAAAAAAACCCACCTTAAAATAAAATATATAGTGATTTTTACAGGTTTATGGATGGTGGAATTCATTTCTAATGAGCAAAATGAAACCACACTAATGAGAGCTACTATGAATTTATGACATAGCGTTTACATTTTCAGCTCAGTCTTGTTTCACAAAATAGGTGTCTTCTCCAGAACCATATATAATTTAATCTGGGATATGCATTTGTGCATTAAAGCATGGGAAACTTCGTGATGACTGGAAGTCTCCAGTGGTGAAGTATGTTCATCTGGCGAGGTATGCAGCTCAGCAAGCACATAAGAGGCATCCAACTCCTGAAATAGGCATTCTGTTAAATAAAGCTTTGTAAAATGTCGGTGGTTAACGTATGTACAGTAACTCATCTTGGAAGGTGCAGTCAATTGAAACTCTAAAAGCAGAAATAGATCAACAAAACGCGGATCATTGCAGACAAAATATGAAACTAAAGTAGTAAATTATGCACCCTGATTATTAAAACATGCAAATTGATCTATCATATGCATAACAATTTGACTAGAAAGATATGTACATAAGTCAATGAAGAATCAGCGAGCTTTGCAATTTGATGTATGCATTATGTAACTTGATCTCAAAAGTAAATTAAATATTAAATGGCAAAATACATTATTTAGAGGAATCATTAAAGAATGCTGAAAAGATGGGATATCTGATCCTTTAGAGGCACTGATATTCTTGGTGGCATGATAATTTTTGTGGAGACCCAAAATCTCACACCTGGTCACATTTACTTCCATTGCCATTACTAGAAGCACTGTTTCATTCTGTACCTGTGTAGGAGTGTCAGAACCTGGAATTGACAAACTTGATGAAGACAAATAGCATGCCTCTGAGATTTAACACCGGAGCTCTTGTTGGCTTTGCTTTCCTGTTCATTTTTGTTCATTTGTCTGCTTTTGTCATGTGCAACAGCAGTCTGTGAGGGCTCTATGTATGCTTACAAAAACCAGCTGAGTGACTTGGGAAACTTCTGAAAATAGAATCAACACTCAATCACAAAAGCAAGATTTCTCTGGCCTTGGTTTGAGGAAGCAAAATACAATGTCTTTTCTTTTCCATTTAGCTGGGGTCACACCATGTGGTTTTCAATGCCTTTTTGATTTCTACACAGTCTGCCGGTTGGATTTTTCTCCCTTAGAAGTGAAAAAAGCCAGTACAATAGTAGTAAGCCTACTTTTGGGAGATTGTCAGTCCCTCCCATTTGAGAGGAAGGCCTCTCAAATTCCTCAAAAGGGCTGTTTGCCATTTACCAAACTGTTTGAAGAATTTTCTAGGGGAAGAGACAAGGTTAGCAAGATTTGCAAATCTCAGATTTCCTTGCTGCTCTTTGGTTTGGTTTTTGTTCTGTGAATGATACGGATTTATTAGATTTATATCCGAGTGATAGGAGATTATATCCAGGCCTTCTATGAGCTTCTCTGATACCATTGCCGCCTTCTGTTAGGAATATTGGTTTTGTATCTTTGCAGATTGTTCTTTTGTTGGGAGTCTCGAACATCACTTCTTTGCAAAATGTGCACCATCATAGCTCTGGGGTGAAAAGTATATCAGCAGTCTCGTAAAGATGCTGGGCCAACTCTGATTTTGTATTATACACTTGCTTTTCTCAGATGCTGGGCTGGGTGATTTGTGCATAGGATATCTTTATGTTCCAAAGTGTCCATTCAGAAAATGTGATATAAGGAGGCAAGAAAGAGCTGTTACCTTCTCAGGGCACTTGTTTTGCTATAGAAGAAGGTTATTACTCTCAAATGTGTAAAACATAATGAGTTAATTTCACTGAATTTCAAGCATGAGAACAGCACATGGGATCAGTGACCTCCTAGGCCATTCGATTTCTTACAGTAACTGCTAGCTCTTCAGGAAGCTTAGGGAAGACTGTAATGACAAGGCAAGCATGTAGTGATTCTCATAGAACATTCTGTCATCTTAAAGGCTTCTGGAGTCAGAGGGGATGGCGTTGTGTTAAACACCCTTCCCTGGATAACTGTTTTGTTGGTTTGTCTAATTGCTTTCTGAACCTCTGCCTACTCCAAAACTAAGTTCCACAGTGTGTAATACATACTGCCTGATCAAACAGCTCATTTTGTTTGTTTTGAACCTACCCCATGTTAGTTTGTTACATGCCTCTCATTTATTCTGGTGGAAAAGATAGTGAGCAGTCCTGGTGGTATATTTCTTTTCTGTCGTCTCGTCTCTGAGTTACAGTTATTTCTTGTGTGGCAAGTATTCAAAATTCAATATTGTAATTTCTTGTATCTACATCTAATTTTAATATATCCTTTTTTGAATGTTGGGAGTGAAAGTGAGTCACTCAAGGGAGCTTCTGGCAGTAGGGATCATTTCAAAGGCTTTTATTGATAATCCCCGCAGACCTGCCTCATATCACTGTTCTCAGAAGGGAGTCTAGGAGTGCATTGTACTTTATGCCCTCTGCTCCTGCTCACAGCTGGAGCTGTGAAATATGGGATTTACATTTTGCATTTCTTACATAGAGACCAGTATGCAGGGAACTGGCTTTGAAATACTTTACTAAATTCCAACCTTTTGAGCTTTTTCTCTGTCTGAATGAATTCTTAATTCTTCTCTTCAGCCTTCCTCCCCATCTACCCTGCAGAACAGTTAGGATGGGAGATCCCTCCTGGGGATGGGAGATGCTATTTCTGAAGTCTCTGTGCAGTACAGCCTCAGTCTAGTTGCTATTGTGCTATTTGTCAAATGTAAGAGGAGACTACTTCAAAGGTGAGTGATAGTCTGAGGAAGCTTTTTGAGTCCCATGATACAGGTTCATTTGCTTCCAGGAGTGACTAGGACAGATCCTGCATATCCAGTGAGGATGGATGTGTGGATGGGTTTGGTTGGGATGGCCATTAGCACAAGTAGTCAGTCAGCATATCAGCACCATCTGACATCTGGCCAGACATATCAGAAGTACTGATGGAGGATATTGTGGAATATATTGGACAAAGGAATGAGGGAAAGTAAGGGCTGAATAGTGAAACAGTAGAGAAGTAGATTACTGAGGATAAGTAGGTACAGGTAAAGTAAGAGGGTGAGGCGAGAAAGGCACAGCAGGAGAAAGTACAGTGCTTCGTAGGAAGCTGAGAATGGTAGTGAGATTGTCACTTAATTTTCTGTACTGAGCAGTCAATCTAGTGCCAAATACCTAGCTGTGAGGAAGAATACCTCCCAAACATGCTGAAAATGGTTTGGTCCTAACTAGGTGATATATGCAACTTTAGAGAGCCACAGATAAGGTTAATATATAAATCTTCCCTTCTGGGGGATGAGACAGAACTCTGCCAGCCCAGAGTCCACCTTTGGCTGTAATAAAAACTCTGTACCTCTGTAATAGTGACTTGCAGAGGGTGATTTTCATGTGTGGGCTTTTTTCAGGCTGACTTCTTGGGATGCTGATCTTGCAGTTGCTTCCACACAGATCTATACTTAAAATACAGGACTAAATCTTTTCTATGTCTTTATACAGAGTAGCATGTTTCTAGCCCTAAATGATTAGTGTGGTATGTTTAAGAATATAAACCCCATTTTCTATATTTGGAACTAGATCAGAATAAATAGAAAACAGAATATTCCTTGTGCTGCATAGTTTATAATTGAGTTTGCTTCTTTTTTTCACTCTTGAACTTACAGCTTATAAATTAGTGAGGCAGCAGAGTGAAACAGAGTGTAAAATATTGCAATAAAACTGAACACTTTGTTTCTTCTCTCACAGTTATGATCATTACAGAAAATAGTTATTAAATCTCAAAAGATTGCTTTAATTGAATTGCTTGTGTAATGGTATCTTACTGTTTCTAGAGTCCATCTGATTTAAAAAGCTGTTACACTCCATTCAGAAAGAAGCTGCAGTGTTGAATTTTCACACAAACCTTTTCTCCGTTAAGTACAAAATATCTGTATCTTATATGCAATTCATTTAAAATTTGTTACATATCTGTTATATATCTATAAGTTTAATGCTATTTTGTATTTTACGTCTATTAATGAAGTTGACATTTTCTTGATGATAGTTTTGAGCTTTGCCAAATAGTTTAAAAGCAGCAAAACCCACCAAAAAAAGTCATCATGCTTGATATTTGAAAGGTAACTAGAGAGAGTGTTACAGTCTTGATCTTTTCTCCCTTACATATTAATGCATCATAACTCTTTTGTCAACCACAGGTGGCTCTTGACCTGCTGGTTTCTCAGGCATGCTCACAGGTAAAGATACTTTTCTCTTCTTTAGCGTTATAGATTGACCAGACAGATACCCTAGTGCTTACAGCTATTATTTTGGTTATCTTTACCTCTAGTTGCTTATACATATTTTCTGTAAATATCGTGTCCATATATGTCCTAACAGTTACTGCCTCTGAGACCTTTTGCAGTTGCCATAAAGTCTTAACTCCCTCAGGCAGCAAGTCTCTGGCAAGCTAGTGGAAAAGGTATCCTGACATGAAGTGATGCTCTAGTGTCCGTGCTGGACCTGTGGTTCATATTTGGTGTATTTCAGTCTTTAGCAGAATCTATTTACAAACCACTGGTGACAGTCAGAACTCTGGCTCTTAGCTGGCTTTTACTTCCCATCATCAACCACAGCACTTCAGTGTCATGCAGAGCCCTAGTGCCTCCAGTTGACCTTAAGATAACTGTCACCTTATCTGGTGTTTTTGTGTGAGTTCATGAAAACCTGAACAACGTTTGGAATGTGTTTTCTGTCCAAGTTGGCATGTTTTAAAATTCCTCTTCTATCTAATTAAAACAGCAGTAGATGAGAAAATAATAGATTAACAGCAGCACATATGACATAACTAATCAGACACTTAGTTAATGAACCATTGCAAATATGATCTATAGACATTTTATTGGCATATAAACTGGGCACAGCAAGGATTTTAATGAGATTTGATAGGTTACTTAAATCAGATTCTTGACAAGATTATCCAAATGTGTTCAAGCAGGGAAAAAAAAACCAACAAAACCAACCAACCAACCAAACAAACAAAAAAAAATCCACCCCAAAACATAAATCGGAAAATAAAGTAATTGCAACATTGTGGTAGAAAATACTTAAAATCTGTAAAAGATAAAAATACTAAACCACATTGCTACCAGAGCAGTTTTCTGTAATGGGGATAACATTCTCAATAGGGAAGGGTTCTATAAAAATTGTATCTCCTGTGATGAATATGAGGTCTGCAGTAAACGATTTAGCAGCAAAAGAGAGGAACTAAAATGTTTTGGGTATCTTTATGCATCAGTCAGTCCTTAGTAAGAAGGCATTTTAGACAAAGGTACAATAACAAATAATAATAATATCAAGAGCAATCATTGCTGTAAGTGATGGTGCTTTCCTTTCCTTAAAGGAAAAATCGCTACTACTATAGCTTTTTTCCAACCGGCAAAAATCTTGAAATTGGAGTCACTTTAGTAACAGTGTTTTAGTATTCAAATCCAATTAATTTCATTTATGGTGTCCTCTATTTTTTGCCTCTCAACTGACACCAATAATTGCTTTCACTGTCACAACTGGCATGGGGTTCTTTAACTGTTCTGGTTTTCTGTACCAGTCCAATATCCAAAGTAAGGCATTTAGTCATCCATCTTTCCTCATTTCTGTAAGTCATACTCACAACTTGTTTCACTCCGTTAACACCTGCTCTCTATTTTCTAATGTTGGAAGTCCCAGATATTGAGCATTTAAAAATGAGTGTTGCTAAGTTATAGTCTATGAGTTTTTCAAGTTAAGTTGGAATAAAATGTCAAACTGTAGATCCTTGTTTTTGCTAGCAGCAAAGCTTTCCACTGTTTACATTTTTGTGGACAGTGTATATTATAATTCTGTATAATTACCAGGGGAGAAAGATAAAACAGATATACATCTCTCAGAGAAATATGTGCTGTTTCATCTAATAGGGACAGAGACAAAATCATCATCATTCTGTTTTGGAAGTCTCCCTCAAAAAATGTTAGTATTTTTGTCAAGTGAATAGTTTGCCTGAATATGATTTGTTCATGGTCATCATATTCACTCAGGAAAGGAAGTTAAGTGTCTTTATTCTGTCCAGTTGAGGTCTTCAAAAGATTTCTGGCAGGATTATCAAAATTTGTTCAAGATGAAAATAAACCTCACGTAAAAAAAGGTCTTGCAACATTTATGGTAGCACACAACCGGAACTGGTAGAACAGAAAAATACAAAATCAGTGGCTTACCAGAACTGTTTACTGAGCAAAACAGTCCCAGTAGAATTGTTTAATTTAAAAGAAGTAAAAAAAGAATTTACCAAAATTGGCAGTCAGATTGAAGGTACAGGCTATGCAGTGCTCTCCTCTGCTTTTATTTTTGCCTTGGTTGTGTTGCGGTATTATTACTAAAAAGTGCAGCCTATTTACGTAATTTGGGGACTAAGTCAATTGTTTCTCCCTTATTTTAAGCAGCTAGAATTTGTGTTGTACTAGTAATACTAGTATTTCTGATTTTCCAACAGTTGAATCAAGTACTCTATTTCTCCTGCTTTTCTGCAGGTTAGTTTTTTATGCTATTTTATCACAGTCTTTTTGTAGAGTGTAGTGCTCTGTCTCCATGTATTTAAGAGAGGAAGATGATGTCTGTGCGCCTTTTCCATACTCAAAACATTACAAAGTTACTCATATTCGTAATTTATGAAAAGTCTAGAAGGCAAAAAATAATATTTTTCTTTACAGCTTATCCTAAAATGGATGTTACGCATTTATTGAAACTGTTGTAGCATTTGGCAATCTATTTGGTGAAAGTATGTTGAAAGTATGAACTCTTTTTTCATGAGTACACTCTTGCTTCTGCAAGATGGAGTTCACCTTTTTGACATTTTATCTAAAAAAATGAACTTGTACTCATTTGGTTTTCAGTTGTAACAGCTTTTGACTCATACTTTAGGCAAGGTACATATCCGTAGTGTTTGTTTTTTCTTCTACCATTTCAGTTGTGAAAATGAAAGTCACTCCAAAGCAGATTAAACTTTCAACCTCCATCTCTCCTAACATTCACAATAGAATAATTTGAGGTCTTAAATTTCGAATGAGTATTTAGAATTTTGGAGACAAAATGCTTTTCTGCTATTTACATGTTATGAATGATAGATAAATTTAAAGACTACATATATATTCTTTTATACTTAAAGATATAATGCCTGCTCTTGCTTTCATTCACTTACTTTCTGAAGGTCATAATCCTTAATTTCATGTAGCACAGTTAAACAAAATGTTAGAAAACTGGGATATCTGGAGCCACATATAGTGCTATCTTCTAGACATATTTTTAAGTCTATTTTAAGGATGAATGTAAAGAGGCATTATATTTCTAGTACTTGTTTAATGCCTTCAGAATAAAATACAGCATGGAGATTGTATATAAATACAAACAATAAAAAAATTAGATTTTTTTAAGATTAAACAGAGCAACATAATGTCTCAGTATGTGTAGAAGAGTTTGATGTCATAGTTTGTAACAGAAAAGTGCTTTTGGTTTTGTTGGTTTTTTTTAATATGTATTGAAGGGCTAGACAAAGCTGAAATAAATGATATTCCAGTTTGAAATTTTAACAGGGTGAATACTTTCACTTTATTCTGTTGAAGCTTTTGTGGAGTCCAGCTGAATATGAAAGTCAATTTTTTTTCCTTGAAATTAAATACTTCACCTGCACTGGGGATGGAGATCTTAGGATTTTGGCTTAATCAATGCCCCATTGAGCTCACTAAGAAATTTCCTCCTTTACCTGCTTCTTATAATTAGTCAAGAAGTTTAATGTCTCTTAATGGAATATCAAGCATTGCCTCCTGCTGCAGGTAAATTGACCATTCATCTTTTGCTTTTGTGGTAATTCCTGTTTTACTCGTATCTATTTCCAACTCCTTCCCTCAAAATATATTACTTAATTAGTATTTATAACAATGACTTACTTTAAGATGGGGTTCAAAGGTTTGAGAGTAGTTCAGTGAAATATTTCAACTGTTGACTGCTAAAGCCATTATTGCTCTCCAGAGGGGAGCTGTAGACGTTATATGATTCACTTAAGAAAATGGACCAGAGGTGAGTGTGAGGTGAACCTTAGCAGGGTTTTTTGGTAAGATTGTACTGAAGAGAGCGTATCCAGGAAATAGGATTGTCTACAGGATAACGAGATTATCCTGTGCCAAAATCAGCCTGTAAAGAAACCGGTGTAATATGTAATAGAGGAAATGAACGGGACTGCTAGAGATTTGAAGCGGTCTTTGATTGTAGCAGTGCTGCCTTTTGAGAAAGGTGGGATTTGAAAAAGTTAGGGAGTAAGCAGTTGGAGAAGTTTTAAAGTGTCTAATAAGATTAATAAAAAAAAGAGGTTACTATATGTCAGGTAAAATGCAGTTTAGTATTAACCCTTATCCAGCAATATTTTTTTTTAATGCTTTCAGCAATCTCAGATGAGGTTTTTAGTCATGTGGTCAAGTGTACTTGTCAGACATAGCATTTTAGATATAACACTTTTTTTTAATCGACTACCTTCATCAGATAGACTAATGTCTTTCTGGCTCCAGTTTTCTTTGGTTCTATAAGACCATCTCAGGGTCATTTATACCACTGGGTATAAATTACTGTAAATCATTCTGCTGCCATTTATCTCAATACACAAATACAAATAAATTCGTTAATGCATGTCGTCAAACACAGTCATTCCTGACTTCAAATCATAGAATAGAATCATAGAATAGTTAGGGTTGGAAAGGACCTTAAGATCATCAAATTCCAACCCCCCCCCCCTGCCATGGGCAGGGACACCTCACGCTAAACCACATATCACCCAAGGCCTCATCCAACCTTGTCTTAAACACTGCCAGGGATGGAGCATTCACAACCTCCCTGGCCAACCTATTCCAATGCCTCACCACCCTAACAGGAATGAATTTCCTCCTTATATCCAATCTAAACTTCCCCTGTTTAAGTTTTAACCTGTTACCCCTTGTCCTATCACTACAGTCCCTAATGAAGAGTCCCTCCCCAGCATCTCTATAGGCCCCCTTCAGATACTGGAAGGCTGCGATGAGGTCTCAACGGAGCCTTCTCTTCTCCAGGCTGAACAGCCCCAACTTCCTCAGCCTCTCTTCATGTGGGAGGTGCTCCAGTGCCCTGATCATCCTTGTGGCCCTCCTCTGGACTTGTTCCACAACATTCCATGTCCTTTTTATGTTGAAGACACCAGAACTGTACACAGTGCTCCAAGTGAAGTCTCACGATAGCAGAGTAGAGGGGCAGGGTCACTTCCTTCGACCTGCTGGTCACGTTCCTTTTGATGCAGCCCAGGATACGGTTGGCTTTCTGGGATGCGAGTGGATGCTGAACATGGCTCATGTTCATTTTCTCATCAACCAACACCCCCAAGTCCTTCTCCACAGGTCTGCTCTGAATCTCTTCTTTGCCCAACCTGTAGCTGTGCCTGGGATTGCTCCGACACAGGTGTAGGACCTTGTACTTGACATGGTTAAACTTCATAAGGTTGGCATCAGCCCACCTCACAAGTTTGTCAAGGTCCCTCTGCATGGCATTCTTTCCCTCCAGCACATCAACCGAACCACACAGTTTGATGTCGTCAGCAAACTTGCTGAGGGTGCACTCAATCCCACTGTCCATGTCAGCGATGAAGATCTTAAACAAGACTGGTCCCAATACTGATCCCTGTGGGACACCGCTCATTACTGGTCTCCAGCTCGACATCGAGCCATTGACCTCAACTCTCTGCGTGCGGCCATCCAGCCAGTTCTTTATCCACCAAGTGGTCCATCCATCAAATTGATGTTGCTCCAATTTAGAGACAAGGATGTTGTGTGGGACAGTGTCGAACGCTTTGCAGAAGTCCAGGCAGATGACATCAACTGCTCTACCCCTGTCCATCAGTTCTGTAGCCCCATCATAGAAGGCCACCAAGTTGGTTAGGCAGGATTTCCCCTTAGTGAAGCCATGCTGGCTGTCACCAAGCACCTTGTTGATTTTCATGTGCCTTAGCATGCCTTCCAGGAGAATCTGCTCCCAGATTTTGCCAGGCACAGAGGTGAGACTGACTGGTCTGTAATTCCCCGGGTCATCCTTTTTCCCCTTCTTGAAAATGGGGGTTATATTTCCCTTCTTCCAGTCGTCGGGAACTTCACCTGACTGCCATGATTTCTCAAATATGATGGCCAGTGGCTTAGCAACTTCATTGGCCAGCTCCTTCAGGACCTGCGGATGGATCTCATCAGGACCCATGGACTTGTGCATGTTCAGATTTTTAAGATGGTCTCGAACCAGTTCCTCTCCTACAGTGGGTGCAAGTTCTTCATTCTCACAGTCCCTGCATCTGGCTTCCAAGACTTGGGTGGTGTGGTCAGAGCCTTTGTCAGTGAAGACCGAGGCAAAGAAGTCATTCAGAACCTCAGCCTTCTCCAAATGCTGTGTAGCCAGTTCTCCTGAGAGCTTCCTGAGGGGGCCTACATTCTCCCTAGTCTGTTTTTTATTTGCTGTGTACCTGTAGAATCCCTTTGTGTTATCCTTAAAATCCCTAGCCAAGTTTAATTCTAACTGGGCTTTAGCTTTCCTAACCTGGTCCCTAGCTTCTCAGACAACATCCCTGTACTCTTCCCATGCCACCTGTCCTTGCTTCCACTTTTTGAGCCTCTTTTTTTCATTTGAATTTTCCTCAGGAGCTCCTTATCCATCCAAGGAGGTCTCCTGGCCCTCCTGCTGCACTTCCTTCTAGTCGGGATGCAACACTCCTGATCTTGTAGCAGGTGATCATTGAATATCAACCAAGAGTCTTGGGCCCCCCTGCCCTCTAGGGCTATATCCCATGGAACCTTACTAAGCAGGTTCCTGAAGAGGCCAAAGTCTGCTCTTCTGAAGTCCAGGGCAGTGAGCTTGCTGCATGCTCTTCTCACTGTCCTGAGGATCTCAAATTCGACCATCTCGAGATCGCTGCATCCAAGGCTGCACTGGAGCGTCACATTTCCAACAAGCCCTTCCCTCTTGGTGAGCACGAGGTCAAGCATGGCACCTCTCCTTGTCAGCTCCTCTATTACTTGCAGAAGGAAGTTGTTTTCTACACAATCGAGGAACCTCCTGGATTGCTTGTGCCGGGCTGTACCGTCCATTGCTTGTGCCGGGCTGTACCGTCCTTCCAACAGATGTCAGGGTGGTTGAAGTCACCCATGAGAACAAGGGCCTGTTAGCATGAGGCTGTTCCTATCTGTCTGTAGAGTGCTTCATCCAGAGGTTCTCCTTGATCAGGCGGTCTGTAACAGATCCCCACAGTAATGTCTCCGATAGCTGTTCTCCCTTTAACCCTGACCCACAAACTCTCTGTGGACTGCTCACCTGTCCCCAGACAGAGTTCCATACTCTCCAGCCTATCCCTAACATAAAGGGCAACTCCCCCTCCCCGCCTGCCAGGCCTGTCATTTCTAAAGAGCCCGTAACCTTCCATTCCAACACTCCACTCATAGGAGCCATCCCACCATGTTTCTGCAATGCCTATTATATCATACCCCTGTAGACGTGTACACATCTCTAATTCCTCTTGTTTTTTCCCCATGCTACGGGTGTTTTATAGAGGTATCTGAGCCAAGCTCCAAATGAATTTGGCTCATTGGCTGGAACGGCTGGGATATCTCTACTTTGCTCCGAGCATTTTTTATAGGTTCTGGCAACTGACTGGGTGTGTTGGGATGGAATGATGTCCCCTCCCCCAACACATCCAGTTTAAAGCTTCCTTGACCAGTCTGGCAAGCCTCCTACCAAAACTGCTCTTTCCCTTCTTTATCATCAGACCATCTCCACCAGCCTCAACTAGACCTGGCCTATAAGCTTGGGTCTCGTGTTCAAGACACCCAAACCCCTGACTATGACACCACCCTTTTAACCAGTTATTAACCTGGCCGATCCTCCTAGCTTTTTTTAGGTCCTCCCCTGTATCCTGGAGAATTGAGAAAAAGACCACCTGAGCTCCAGAGCCCCTAACCACCTCCCCCAGGGCTCTGTAGTCCCTCTTTATGTTCCCCAGGCTACTCTATCTATATCCCTAGCACCCACATGTATCGCCAGGAGTGGGTAATAGTCCGTGGGACTTACTAGAGCAGGCAGTCTCTCTGCCATGTCCTTGATCCGTGCCCCAGGTAGGCAACACACCTCCCTTGAGATGGGGTCAGGCTGACAGATGAGTGCTTCTGTCCCTTTCAAAGTAGAGTCCCCTACTACTATGACCCGCCACTTCTTCCTGGCAGCACCAGTAGAGATCTTCTTTACCAGGGCACCAGCCGGCTGTTTCTGGCTCAAGTGCGTTTCCTCATTAGCCCCCTGCAGGACAGCAAAGCGGTTCTGTGGGGGACAGGGGATTTAGGGGGAAGCCCCTTGCTTTTAATTGTCCTCTTCCTCCTATTTTTGTTGCTTTTTTTGTCACTAATTCCCAGCTTCCCGGGTTAATGGCCTCCTACTTTCCCACATAAGCTAGAGGGGAAGCTTGAGGCCCCTGGACAGTTTGGGCCGGGAGCAAGCATCCCTGCTTTCTCTCAGCTTCCCTGACATCTCTCAGTCTATTAACAGCATCCCTCAGCTCAGCCCCTGCTGCAGGAGGACCTCCACCAGGGAGCACCGAGTGCAGCCCTGCCCACTGTGCACCCTCCCCTCACCAGACCAGTGCAGGCACTCTCTACACCCCGAGCTCTGCACTGCAGCCTCCCCTCTTGTCTGCTCTGTCTGGGTGCCTACACTGGCCATCACTGGGGCAGCCAGAGCAGAGCTCCCAGACTGGGCCCTGGTCAAACAGCGAGTGCTCACCATCCCGCTCACCTGCCAGCTCAAACTGCCACGCAAACTGCCTCAATCCCCTCTGTTTCTTCTAACTTCTTCCTAAACAGTCACTGAGCCTCTTACTTCATTAGAGAATGTACTGTATAATTAGCTCCATGCTTTCAAGGAGTGTTTTTTTTTTCACAGTGGTTTCTGCTTTGAGTTTGTCGTTGCCAAACAAAAGCTTTTGTGATGCTGTCTTAATACGTTACAGGGACACATTCCTAAGGATTGATGGTCTTACATGTGGTAATCCTGGTGAACTGCCATGGCCAGGACTCGGGGATAAGATATTAATGGGTTTGGATACGTGAGGTATGTGTCTTCATTTTGTTGACTATTTGAACTGTCCCAGAAGCAGCTCTAGGTGTCCCCTCACAGGTTTCTGTTCCCTGTGCCTTCCTCATGAGGTACAGAGAGGGGTAGGTTTGATACAGGGAGAGCACAGAGTGCAAATACAGCTTTGTGCACAACAAAATTTGCCCATGCATCTCTCTTAATACATTGGTATAAGTTCCAGCTACCATAGAGTGCTCCTTCCAGACAGTATTTATCTTTTTGAATACCATCATTCTCACCAGTACAGTTTCCTCTTGAGCTGTATTTAATGTTATCGATAGAGGCAGACCACTCAAATACACTTATTCTTGGCTGATTCGTCCCACTTCAGCACTGGACAGTTTGGTCTAATGAAAGAAACCAAGGCACCTGCAGTCACTGTCTTCAGAAATCAAATAATGGTGCCCTTTTTTAATTGCAGAGGACTGCAAAGGGATTCAGTCATCAGTGCAAGAGAAACACAGATCTGAATGCAAGATTAAAAAAATTACATGTCCAACACTTAATACATGTCTTCATTTCTCCATGGGCCAAACACTGGGACTAGGGTCAGATTAATCTGTGTACTGGGACAAGTGAGTGGTGAGGGAAGAATAATAACACATGGAGCTGGTCAAGGCCATGGTGAGAAAGTCGTGAAGGTATTGACAAGGTAAATCAGGTAAGGAAAACAAAAATTGTGAGAAATGAGCTGCTAGGATGGAGCTGAAGGGGTTATTTAAATGAACCAAGGGGGCACCAAAACCAAGAGACTAATGATTGTGTTGGGCAGGCATACATGGGCACACCTAACCATGTTCCTCCCACCATCACCGACTTAAAACAAGAGTGACCTAAACCAGTTTTTAAACTAACAGGAGTTCTAGCCTGAAGGCTTTGGTGGCCCGTATCTTTTATATTGAATCATTTACAAGGGGAAGAATCACTTAAGCTGATCCAGATCTAAAAGTATTTAGAAATGGGGAAAAGAAATCCTCCTCGCTTTGACCACTGGTCAGAGATACTGTCAAATGACAAGCTATACAGCAACATACTGACAACTGGAGCTGTTGCCAGTGGAAGGCATGGTAGCTCAGAGATGTGCAACTCCCTCCTCAGAGGAAGATTTGTGTTGCCACAGGACTAGAAAGAGACTCTTGTCCAAATGTAGAAATGGTACAAGGCTCTTCAGTTCAGACATGGTCCATGTGGGTAGGGAGCTGGCAGAGCATGAGTTGCCATGATCTTTACACTTCCAAATCGTGCCAAGCTCCTACTGCCTATTCGTTAAGGAGTGGGTCCTCTTTGTTTCTGGTGAGGTAAATACCTTTTGTGTAACTCAAGAGCCTCTTTCAGCTGTTTGTCTGGGATTTTCCTCCTACAATTATGGACATCTGCCTGGGAATTAATCCTGTGTTTTTGATTAGGCATCTTTGTTTTTTTCTTTTTTTTTTCTTTTTTTTTAAATCCTCATTCTTCTTCAGTCTTGTTTTTAGAAGATGGAGAAGAAAACTCACAGCAGAGCCCACCCAAACCTTGTAAATCCTCAGTGAACCCTAAACAGAGAATCATTTTGCTTAGCAATATAAATGAGCTTTAGATGCAATAGAAATTATATTCAACTATATCATTAAGCTTTTCACATGTGAAAGAACATTGAAAAGGGCAGAAGATAAGGCTGTTGTCTTACAGTTCTTTTATAATTAATTACATGAGTGAAACAAACAGAAGGCTTGTCAATTCCCAATTATGTTATTGCCCCCATTTGGGTTATAAACACTCTTCAGGATTAACTAATTTATAGGCCATATCTTCTGCAGTAGTTGCACATGTCCATACCTTCATTATGGGCAGTGTAACTGGGACAATTTACAAGGATGGAAGATCTGATCTGATGTCAATGCAGTAGAAGAAATGATATTTTATTCTCATTATCCTGTCAGCACATATGGCATGTCTGTGTGATATAATTCCCTTAACACACAGCAAGTATCTACCAAGCTTCTCTCTTTGCTTGTGCTGGACTAGAGATAACCAGCTGTCATCATCAATCAGTTCATCAACTGAGATGATTTGATCCTTACTTTATACGAGCTCTGATCAAATAGTTTTCTTCCTGAGACACTGTCCAAATCCAACAAACTGATTCTTATGCCACTTTTAGTACTCGGTGCTAATATTTTAGATCTCTTGGAAAACCTCTGTTGTCTTATTTCTTGCTGCCACAAAGCCTATTAAGAATTTTAGTTTATTTTCAGGGGAGAAACCGTGCTGACGGGTATCTTATTGTAAGCAAGGTCTATATACTTTCAAATGTTAATGTAAAAAGCATTATTGCTTGTATTTCTATTTGAAATAAATAGTGAGTGCCAAGCATACAAAGGTGCTATTACTGAGGTATGACACCCTCCATTTTGACGACCATAATAAAGGCTATTCTTAAACCTGAAAGGCTTAATGACTTGAAATATTCATCCTTCCAGATTTTTGTTTTATAAAACATATAAAGGCACTGGATGGTGAAGCTGCTGTGGCAAATTACAAGAGTTATTAAAAATTCTCTTTCAAGCTAATAACAAGTCATCAAAAAATTGAATACACCTGACCCTTTTACCAAAGTGTGAATTAGCAGTCTAATGGTAATATTCAAATGGGCAAAAGAAATATAAGCTCATTTTGATAAAAATATAAGAAAATGCTTCCCTAGTGTGAATCATCTTAACAGGTGAAATAGCATTTTGGTACAGTGATCTCTGCAAAGCGCACAGCAAGCTGGCAAATGTGAAAACAGAGGATGAAAGCAATTTTGTGCATCTCTTGCCAGTGTTTAATTCCCTTTTTAGTTGTTATATAAAATCTGAACATCTCAAAGCACCTCTGTATGTTACTTTAAAAACAAAATTACTAGCCCACTGAATAAACTGTTTTCCTTAAAACCCTAGTTTCAGATGTAAATTAAAGCTGAAGCATATAATATGCTGACCATGTTTAAGAATGTTTCTCGTAAATATTTTCATCTACCAACAATAGCTGCTTTTATTGCAGCATTAACATTTACATGTTTTAAAAACCAAAAAGGTATGCATTTTAAACAGGATTGTTACACAATTGTAGAGATGTTATATTTTTCTTCCCTAATTGTAGGAAAACAAAATCCTTAAGAAATTCAAGCATATATTAGGGTAGAGAAAGCAGATTATTTAACTCTGCACACCAATCCATGCTATTTGCTAAGACCACTCATAGAAAAGGTTGTATAAAATTAGTAGTGGGAAACCCTTCTTCTGTAGTAAAAATTTTATTTTATTATGCTAGTCACTTTTGCTGTATGATGGAAATTGGTCTACTCTTTGTCATATGTGTTAGTCTTAATATCTTCCGTGGGCACGTAGATAGTTTCCACGTATAAAGCAGACAGCTGTGCCCTTCCCACCATTAATTTAACTTGCTTTCTTTCATTCTCTTTTGGTGGATACAGCTTATGTAGAGCCATTCTGCCCATAGGCATTAATCCAAGAAAACACTTGGATGTTTTGTTGGATTAAGTGTGTGCTTAATGTTAAGCAGATGATTACAGTCATTTGAATGGTGCTGTCCTACTTATGAACTAAGGTGCTGTAATGAATCAGAGCTATAGATTCTGGTCCAGCTTGCATGGAAATCAGTGACATGAGCATCATTCACATCACTGAGAACCTTGAACTAACTGCAAAGATCCAAGCCACGTGATGAAGATAGCTCTATTCTCATATTCAGTGCTTTTTCAACTATGCACTTCATACTGTAAAATACTGAAACATAACAATAAAAAATTATTAATTGAAGTGCATTCTACTTTTGAAACAATTGAAGTAATTGCTAAAATTTATTGTTTTTATCATATGTGGTCCCAGGTTGTCTTCCAAGATTGCTGGTGATCTTGAAAAGAAATATTGTAAACAAAAAATGAATATTCATTTTACATCTTTATGTTGGCAATCCCGAGCGAGAGGTGTGTATATAGTTCACGATGATTCATTTAATTACCTCTGAAGAATCTTGATCTGTGGATGGATTTTTAGCAAAGAATGGCCACGTTCCCACGTCAGCAAGTGCTTACCTGGAGCTCGACATGAACTGAGGATGAAGGAGGACGTGAGTGAGGAAGCAAAAGTAATGGTGCAGGCAAGATAAGAAGAAACTGGACTGTGCTAAGATACAAAATAGTGAACTGTTAGCAAGTTTTAAAGGTTAAGTTCCCATACACTTATTTGATTAATTGTATACTAGTTGCTGTGTGCTGCAAGAATATGTATCAAAGTATAATATACTAAGCTATTGTATATGTATCCAATTATTATACAGCAAGCTATTGTCTATGTTTCCAGTGATACTACAGCAAGCTCTTGTATATGTATCCAAATACAATACAGCAAGCTATTGTATATGTAGCTGTAGTTGCTGTGTGCTACAAGAATATGTATCCGATTATAATACAGCAAGCTATTGTAAGCAGATGCAGGCAACAGTGTAAAAAGGATAGATGGTTTCTATTAAACGGCTTTTTTCTGATCACACTGATCTCTGACTGAGTGCATATTTTTTTCTGCGGCGTTGATCTAACTTAAAATCTTGTTCTTCTGAGGACAGATCTTTCCACCCACAAATCTCCACTCAAAAGTGCTCCTGAAGTCAAGGGGATTCTGCTTTGAGCTGAAACTCTCTTTATTACTGCTAAAGCAGGAACCTTACATAGTTGTTGGGGTAATATGGATTGTTAAAAATGGGAGTTTACAGTGATGAAGAGCATATGTGTTGGTTGTCACTGAAAGCTATTTTATAGCTCTTAAAATCTCCCATGTTTTTTGGTCTGATATATTCTATACAACAGCATTTGGGGGGCGAGGTGGGGGACAGGGCTGTAATTAGCTACAGACTGCAGTCCACCATAAAAGCAAAGAATTTGGAGCCAAAAGACCAGTTAGCTGAGAACTTGAACTTGCAATCAGC